CTCTCTCTCTCTCTCTCTCTCTCTCTCTCTCTCTCTCTCTCTCTCTCTCTCTCTCTCTCTCTCTCTCTCTCTCTCTCTCTCTCTCTCTCCCATAGACACACAGAAGTGCTCCACACTGCACGCACAAAGAGGTACTGATGTAAAGAGGGACTTCAAACTCCTATGGTCCAGACATTTACCCTTGTGTTTTCCTGGCGCATTTGCAAATATGCCCTTCTTCCACAGTATCCACGAAACCAGGATTGTATAGTGAGGCAAGCCTTGAGTCGAACAGCCTTGCGGTGTGACCTGAATGCTCGTACAATTCGATTCGCCGCAATCCATCGCCTTGCCTGTTGCATACAAAAAGAGCCAAACTCTCCTATAGACAGTCAGCATCCCCCCCAAAAAAGCAAAAACGAAAAGGACAGCATCATGGTGCACTCAAAATACACCACCGAAACGGCCGCACATAGAACATCACAATCCTTTTAAGATACCATCACATGATCAGACTGTTCCAATTATGATACCTATGGATCTGGATGGAAAAAGGGGTTGATGTGGTGATTGTATAAGACAAGGATACGCGCACATGCGAGGGCTTGGTCGCGGAGGAGATTGCAAGTGGGAGTTCGCACACAGCCCATGGGTGTGTAGGCACTTCGTGCTCGACCACACAGGCATGGGGAGCCTTGCATAACATTAGCATCTTTCTTTCAGCAACAAAGCATAGCATAGCATAGCATAACATAGCATAGCATAGCATAGCATAACATAGCATAGCATAGCATAGAATAGCATGGGGAGGCTTGCATAGCAGTGGCATTGTTCCTTCGGTAGCATAGCATAGCATTGGCATCTTCCCTTCAGTAGTATAGCATAGCATTGGCATATTTTCATCAGTAGAATAGCATAGCATAGCATAGTGCACAGCATTGACATCTTTCCTTCAGTAGCATAGCATAGCATAGCATACCATAGCATAGCGTGGGGAGTGTTGCATAGCATTGACATCTTTCCTCAGTAGCATAGCATTGCATTGCATAGCATAGCATAGTATAACATGGGGAGCCTTGCATAACATTGATGTCTTTCCTTCAAAAGCATATCATAGCATAGCACGGAGAGCCTTGCATAGCATTGGCATCTTCCCTTCAGTAGCATAGCATAGCATAGCATAGCATAGCATAGCATAGCATAGAGCATTGACATCTTTACTTCAGTAGCATAGCATAGGCCTTTCCCCGGGAGGGGTGCCTGCCGCGGTGTGCAATCTTTTTTTTTTTTCTTTCTGTTTTATTTTGTTTTGCATAGCATTAGCATCTTCCCTTCAGTAGCATAGCATAGCATAGCACAGCATAGCACAGCATAGCATAGCATAGCATAGCACAGCATAGCATAGCATAGCACAGCACAGCATAGCATAGCATAGCATAGCATAGCACAGCATAGCATAGCATAGCATAGCATAGCACATAGCATAGCACATAGCATAGCACAGGGGATTGACATCTTTACTTCAGTAGCATAGCATAGGCCTTTCCCCGAGAGATGTGCTTGCCATCGTGTGCAATCTCTTTTCTTTTCTTTCTCTTTTAGTTTGTTAATCTCATTGCGTCTGGATTTGAACTTGGGTCTGTATTTCAACATTTCATGGGTGTACCATGGTGTGCTATCTCACCTGAAAGGGTGGGTGGTACGATGAGGGCATATACTCACACTACCGGTAGGACTTTTGCGAGGATTGAGCCCTCATGGGCCCCCTATCAGACATGCAAGTGTTCTGGGCTGCGGCCCCCAGCAAGCCTCGTGCCCCCCCTAAGTGAAGGCGGGCCTGAATATCCACGCGAGGCCAATTTCGGACATTTTTCGTATGCCAGATATCAGACAGTTGCAGCACGCCAGTCGGTTACAAAGCAACGTGAGTCGTTCGTGGCTCCTTCCAGAAGCTGTTGCTGTGTCATGAAACGGTTTCACCCAGTCGCTCGACAGTGCAGACCCCAGGGCTTGATCCCTAGACCTACCCCCAATCCCCTGTACAGCTACCTGTTGACCCTGTGAGTGTTTGAACCCGCAACCTGGCCCTCAGACCTACGTACAAATGCTACCATATGAAATCTGGGTGGACTTGAGCCGACGACCTACAGATTAGCAGTCTTAGGTCAGTCCTAGAGATTAGTCTTAAGTGTAGCGAAGAGTAAGTCCAGAAGTGACCACGTGGCTCTTCGGAGCTGCAGAGGTTAGTCAGTCATAGCCAAGGAGGTTCTAGAATCATCAACTTGACCTTTCGAGGCTGTAGAAGTCAGTCGTCTGTAGGTGACAGTCCAGTCCGAGTCGCAGTCCCAGTCAACCTTGTCTAGTCAGCAAGTACCAGGTGGGGCTGCATGTTTCTTGGGCCCGGGACAGAAGGCAGGCCAGACCACGACGAAACAATATAAATAACGAGGCAACGCCCAGCCATTCATTCATTCGCCTGTGAGCCATGAGGAAGCGCTGCCGAAGCGACTTGTGCGTTGGAGGTCTGCGGGAGCACGAAGGAGAAGTGGGCAGCAGCCATAGCCGCTAGAGGAGGAGGAAGACGACGGCGGCCATAGATGCCAGCTTGTTGACGACAACATTGTGTGTGTGGGGGCGTGGACATTCAGGGTAGATCCTAGTGTGTGTTTGCATGCTTTGAGTGAGCGTGAGTGTATCTGATAGTGGATACAGTATCGAGTGGGAGTTCAGACTGGCGCTCAGATGCCATAGCCGCAAGATAAGACAAGTTGACTTAAGCTGAGTTCGGGCTGGAGGCCATATTTCTGAGTTTTTTGTGTGGGCGTCGTGCACCATCTCTCTTGTTGCTCATTCTACCTTGCGAAGTTTCTTCTGCCATCGGCACCTGTATGCATGCATGTTGTAAGTGAAGTTGAAGACGAGTCTGATTACAGTCGAACAGTTGAGCCCAAGGCTCAGGCGGTTGAGCCCTGGGCACACGCACTCAGAGGCCGACACATCATGGAAAGGCTGTGTACCAATGAGAATGCAGCGTTGTCGTCACACATCTACCGCGGGCCAATGAGATAGAGGCAAACACTCGGAGCCTGGGAGGCTTCCTGGACGTGCCTAACTGCACGGGGCCCAGGCAGTATCTGAAACTGAGCCTGGGCGCAGACACTTGGGGCCAGCCTGTAGTTACTGGGCCCCTACACGCCTGGCCAGACCAGCCAGTAGCGGGCACACTTTCCATAAATGAAAGTGTGCGCCCCTGGGCACGGGATTCTGGCCTAGGCAGGCATAGCGGCCATGCTGCTGCATTTCCGGCGCTGTTGCTATAGCGCTAGGCTGCTAGGCGGCCAGGGCGCACGTGGGCGCAAGAGGTGAGAGGGCGCTGCTGCCACTGAAAGAGCTCACAGAGAAGGGTTGGATTCGGCCTAGTACCTCCCCCTCTGGCTCACCAGTTCTATTTGTTCCGAACAAGGGAGGGACGCTAAGGATGTGCATTAATTATAGAGGCCTCAATGCCATCACCGTAAAAACCGCAGAGCCTCTACCTCGCAGCGACGACCTTTTGGATAAGGTGCAGGGATGTAAGTACTCCACTAAGATAGATCTTAAGTCCGACTACCATCAAATTGCCATTAGCACAAAACCACATTTCAGACCAGGTACAATCTGTACGAGTTTGTGGTGATGCCTTCTGGCCTCTGCAATGCGCCGGGCACATTCCAGCACACCATGAATAGGGTCTTTCATGACTACTTAGATAAGTTTATCGTCGTATACCTCGACGATATCCTCGTCTTTAGTAAGTTTGTCGAGGAGCATGCACAACACTTAGATCTTGTGCTAGGCCTCCTTAGACAGCACAACTTCTGCACAAGTATAAGATCAATCCAGAGAAATGCGAATTTGGACATACAAAGATCTTGTACTTGGGTCATGAAGTATCCGCGGAAGGAGTCAGGCCTGAAGATGCGAAGGTGGCCAGCATTCGTGATTGGCCACAACCTCAGTCTGTGACAGAGGTCGGATCATTCTTAGGGATGACTGGCAACTACCGCAATTTCGTAAAGAACTATAGTATGGTGGCCGCCCCTTTAACTCATCTAACATGCCTCGACACACCATGTGAATGGACAGACGAATATGAGGCATCCGTCAAATGATTGAAGTATGCTCTAATGCGTCACGAGATTCTCATGCTTCCCAACCTTGAGAAGCCATTCATTGTGGCCACTGACACAAGCCAATATGGCATTGGCACAGTGTTGGCCCAACAGGAAGGGAAGAAGTTGAGGTCGATCGAGTATATGAGTAAGAAGACGCGATCTAAGAAGTTGGTGAAATCCACCTACAAAAGGGAACTCTATGCCCTTTACAAGGCTCTTGTCCACTGGAGACACTATCTGTTGGGAAGGTTCTTCTACTTGAGGACCGACCATCAGACACTCAAGTGGATCAAGACACAGCCTGTTCTCTCCGACGCACTTGAACGTTGGATTGAAGTTATTGATCAATATGACTTCAAGCTAGACTACGTGAAGGGAGAGTACAACAAGGTTGCTGATGCGCTGCCACGTAGGGCAGACCACCTATGTATGCTAATTACTGAGTTTGGCCTATATAACGAAGTAACTCGACCAATGGTGGAAGCCTACAAGGAAAATCCCGTCATGGACATCATATGCAAACTAGAGGCCGAAGACAAGGCCGCATCTGATGATTTTGTAATAGTGGATAGTTTACTCTTTCTTGAAAACGCAGGATTTAAAAGATTGTATGTGCCGTCTAGCGCAATTTTGCATAGTTTATCTTTAGGCGAGTGCCATGGCGCGACGGGTCACTTCGTTTACAAGAAGACGAGTGCTAACCTAGTGGTGGCCTAGTATGCTTGACGATGCAAAGAAGTATGTTCAGAAGTATGTTCAAACTTGCCAAGTCTGTCAGCGGGATAAGCCGCGAACTCGAGCACCATTTGGGTTATTGAAGCCAGCTTATTCCTGCGGGTCCGGAACTGAGTGTCTCCATGGACTCCATGGATACTCTCCTGACCAGCAAGAGTGGCAAGCGGCACATCTTCGTCATAGTGGACAGGTTCACTAAGTACGCTAGATAATTCCCATGCCAGAAATCGCAAGGACTGAACACGTCATCAAGGCGCCAACCAAAACAAACAAAAAGAAAAAGGTCGTGCTGGGTGGCGATTTGGCAAAGCTTGGCGTGCAGTTCTTTTCCGACTTGGCCAAAGAAGGCTCGGAGGTAGCAGTAAGGGAAAAGAAAAAGAAAAAAAAAACTTGGCCCAATCTATGATCTCCACTGATTCTCCAGATTGCAACATGTGCAGTGTAGTGTAGGGGGGGCATCTATAATTGCAGCATTCACTGCAAAAAAGGCACTACCCCATCTTGGGAAAAGGGAGGAGAGAAGGGGGGGTGGGAAAGAGAAACAACAACTGCATCACACAAAAGCTTCACCAAGTGAAATTTCCTTCCCAACACCACCTTAGGCTTGCAGTCTTCCTTTTTTTTATTTTGCCTGATCCCTAAGGAGGGAGAAAAAAAGGTCAGTCAGACCCACCTCCAGGACAACCTCTTCTTCAAGCTTTCGCATCCGTTCCTGTCTTTCCTTTGCCTGAAAAACATTAGTCATTCAAAAATTCAAAATGGATAACGGCTAATAAGCCAAAAAACACTCACATAATAATGTGTAATTCCAATGTGAAGACGATCCAGATGCAATGAGGTAGTTTGGAAAAAACAAAACCGAAAGAGAAGTTGCAATGCTTTAAAAAAGAAGAAAAAAAAGTCATAATGCTCACGTGATTGATCAATTAGGATACATCGCTACCGTCGTCGCCGCGACTAGATTGTATGGTGTACCTTGGTTGGATTTTTTCTTCCTGGGCGAGCCGGTTCGCCTGGGGGCCCAGGGTACCCGGGCAACTGAAAAAGTGTAGTCTTTTTTTTACCTTCTATTTTTTTGGCCAGTTGGGGTGTTACGCGCGTTCGCAGAGGAACCCAAATTGGGGCTCTTTTCTTTTTTTGAGTGTGGGCTGTAAAGGGGTGCAAGGGGGGTAGAAATTGACATAAAATGGGCTAAAGGGGTTTAAAGGGGGGGTACCTTAGTCTGATTCTGTTACTTTCATCTTTTATCCAATGAGGAATTCAGATGTGCCCAGACCCGCTAAAGGGGTTTAAAGGGGCGTACCTTAGTCATATTTTCTTTTCAAATGGGAAAGCCAAAAGTTGTTTGCATTGCAAATCTACACAATATATTTTTTTTCCATAATTTTTTGATTTTTTTAAAAAGTTTTTAATAACTTTTTATTTTTTGCACTGGAGCTGCCCGACCCCCTGCCCAGGGCTCATGCCCGGCCAAGCAAGCGGACATGAATCCGGGCAGAACATGGGTGCGAGGGTGCCCGGAAAAACACCAGTAGTGGCACCTAGCCCCCGAGAACGATGCCTCCGCAGAGTCCGCACATACATACATGTGTACATGCATGCATTGGAGCAGACATGCATGCATGCACTCACACCCACACTTACACACACACACACACACACGCACACACACACACACACACAGCCCACCTGCAGGGGTTCGAGATCTGCTCCGACGTCATGTAGCCACAGTGGACCGCTCTATTATACCAGACACACAACTGCGGGCCCTCTTCATTGAAGGCTCCAAGTACCGCCTCGATACCGACACCGCAGATGCGATAAACTCACGGAAACTTTGTTTGGACGAGTATATTGCTAACTTCATAGCAACCATGAGATCGACACGTAACAGTGACCCAATGATTGCCAATAATCTTGCTCAGCTATGCAGATGGCGCACAACAATCATTTCAAGATGCCAACGGAATCTTTCTAGAGCCTCGTACCAAGTACCTACTCAGGCTGCCTCAGGAATCACCAATACATTTTTGAAGCAACTCCAACAGCACTTCGCCATTGTACCTGTTGATAAAACATC